TGTTGGCGTGTGTGTGTTGGCGTGTGTGTTGGGGTGTGTGTGTGTTGGCGTGTGTGTTGGCGTGTGTGTGTTGGGGTGTGTGTGTTGGCGTGTGTGTGTGTTGGGGTGTGTGTGTTGGGGTGTGTTTGTTGGCGTGTGTGTGTTGGGGTGTGTGTGTTGGGGTGTGTGTGTTGGGGGTGTGTGTTGGGGTGTGTGTGTTGGGGTGTGTGTGTTGGGGTGTGTGTGTTGGCATGTGTGTGTTGGCGTGTGTGTGTTGGCGTGTGTTGGCGTGTGTGTTGGTGTGTGTGTGTTGGCATGTGTGTGTTGGCGTGTGTTGGCGTGTGTGTGTTGGTGTGTGTTGGCATGTGTGTGTTGGTGTGTGTTGGCGTGTGTGTGTGTTGGGGTGTGTGTGTTGGGGTGTGTGTGTTGGGGTGTGTGTGTTGGGGTGTGTGTGTTGGGGTGTGTGTTGGCGTGTGTGTGTTGGGGTGTGTGTGTTGGCGTGTGTGTGTTGGTGTGTGTGTTGGCGTGTGTGTTGGCGTGTGTGTTGGTGTGTGTGTGTTGGCGTGTGTGTTGGTGTGTGTGTTGGTGTGTGTGTGTTGGCGTGTGTGTTGGGGTGTGTGTGTTGGGGTGTGTGTGTTGGCGTGTGTGTTGGGGTGTGTGTGTTGGCGTGTGTTGGCGTGTGTGTTGGGGTGTGTGTGTGTTGGCGTGTGTGTTGGCGTGTGTGTGTTGGGGTGTGTGTGTTGGCGTGTGTGTGTGTTGGGGTGTGTGTGTTGGGGTGTGTTTGTTGGCGTGTGTGTTGGGGTGTGTGTGTTGGGGTGTGTGTGTTGGGGGTGTGTGTTGGGGTGTGTGTGTTGGGGTGTGTGTGTTGGGGTGTGTGTGTTGGGGTGTGTGTGTTGGCATGTGTGTGTTGGCGTGTGTGTGTTGGCGTGTGTTGGCGTGTGTGTTGGTGTGTGTGTGTTGGCATGTGTGTGTTGGCGTGTGTTGGCGTGTGTGTGTTGGTGTGTGTTGGCATGTGTGTGTTGGTGTGTGTTGGCGTGTGTGTGTGTTGGGGTGTGTGTGTTGGGGTGTGTGTGTTGGCGTGTGTGTGTTGGGGTGTGTGTGTTGGGGTGTGTGTGTTGGGGTGTGTGTGTTGGGGTGTGTGTGTTGGCGTGTGTGTTGGTGTGTGTTGGCGTGTGTGTGTTGGGGTGTGTGTGTTGGCATGTGTGTGTTGGGGTGTGTGTGTTGGGGTGTGTGTGTTGGGGTGTGTGTTGGGGTGTGTGTGTTGGGGTGTGTGTTGGCGTGTGTGTGTTGGGGTGTGTGTTGGCGTGTGTGTGTTGGTGTGTGTGTTGGCGTGTGTGTTGGCGTGTGTGTTGGTGTGTGTGTGTTGGCGTGTGTGTTGGCGTGTGTGTTGGGGTGTGTGTGTTGGTGTGTGTGTGTTGGCGTGTGTGTTGGGGTGTGTGTGTTGGGGTGTGTGTGTTGGCGTGTGTGTTGGCGTGTGTGTGTTGGGGTGTGTGTGTGTGGGGGGGTGTGTTCCCCCAACCCCACAAATCAAGTCAAAATTGAAGACCACAAAAAGTGCCACTGGCTTGGAGTGGCCACGGGGGTCCCAGCCTCGTTCCAGGGCAAGGGGCTCTTTTCCCGTTTGTTTGGTTTCCGTTTGGGCCCCCCCGGCCGCGCTCAGGCTGACCCGCTCTTGGCGCTGCTTTGAGGTGTCGCCCCTGGTGGGCTCGGGGGCCTTGTGGGCATATGGGTCACCAGGAATCGAACCCAGCCATGTGCAAGGCTTCCCAGGTGTTCTGTTGCTATCACAACCCCCCACACACATCCCAAAACACACACCCCAAACACACACCCAACGCACACACCCCAACACACATACCCCAATACACACACCAACACAAGCACCCCAAAACACACCCCAACACACACACATACCCCAATATAACACATATATCCCAACACACACACACCCCAGCACACACACACCCCAACACACACACACCCCAGCACACACACCCCAACACACACACACCCCAGCACACACACCCCCCCAACACACACACACCAACACCCCCCCAAACACACACACCCCAAAACACACACCCCAACACACACACCCCAACACACACACCCCAACACACACCCCCCCAACACACACACCAACACCCCCCCAAACACACACCCCCCAAAACACACACCCCAACACACACACCCCAACACACACACTCCAACACACACACACCAACACGTACACCCCACCTGTCTCTAGAGACTAGTTCCAAATCTGTCTGGAGCTATAACACTTTTTGTTAGGTTTTGTGTTGAGGAAAACCCTATGTATTTCTTCAAATTTTTTTTTGGGGGGGTCAGACCCAGCAATGCTCAGGAGTAACTGGGGAACTGCTCTGCGCTCAGGGATCACTCCTGGCGGTGCTCGGAGGACCCTATGGGATGATGGGGATCGAACCCTGGTCGGCGGCGTGCCAGGCCAGCGCCCTCCCCGCTGGACTATCTCTCCAGTTCCAAGACCCTATTTATTTTGGAAACGAAAAAGTAAATCCAAATGAATTTAGTTCTATGGATTTTATTTAGTTTTGGCTTTGGACCATATCTAGTGATGCTCATGGCTCATTCTGGCTCTGAACTCGAGGATTACTCCTGGCTCTCTTGGAGGACCCTCTCGGGTGATGGAAATCGAACCCAGGTCAGCCATGTGCAAGACAAGTTCCTTACACACCACACTCTCCAGGACCTAGTCCTATGAATTTTATTTTACTCTTGTGGTACCGAGGTCACAATCTCCCAAAATGAGTCTTGGGAATCACTGGTTAATTTGTCCGAAAAAAAATTTCCCCCCCCAATATCTGTCACAAAAACAAAACAAAACAACAACAACAACAACGAAACCCCTAAAAAGTATCAGCTAACTGATCACTAGCAGCTCCAGATCTCAATAAATTTTCAGAGATAACAAACAGTAAAGTGAAATCAAACAGGTAGATTTCTGTGATAAGCAGTGTTGTGAGGGAAAAAATGAGCAGAAAAGTCATACCAAGAAAAAAAAAAAGCAATAGGTTAAACACTGAGATTTATGGAGTTTGTGCTACAGTGCTGTATTAGGGATATTTGCAAGGGCAAAGTAAGCGTCTCTCGGAGGAGGAAAAGGAGAGATTCACTGACGAAGCCTAAAACACTTAGGGGTAATATTCAAGATCTTCACTTTTCTGTTCACAAAATGCCAAAAAAAAAAAATGAAATAGATCAAGGAACAATTCCATCACAAAACAGTCTCAATCTTTTTTTTTTTTTTTTGCCTTTTGGGTCACAACCGACGATGCACAGGGGTTGCTCCTGGCTCTGCACTCAGGAATTACCCCTGGCGGTGCTCAGGGGACCCTATGAGATGCTGGGAATCGAACCCGGGTTGGCCGCGTGCAAGGCAAACGCCCTCCCCGCTGTGCCATCGCTCCAGCCCCGTGTTGGACTTTTCTTAATACCTGTTGGACTTTTCTAACATAGGCTTTCTTAATATGTTATTTATTATAATGTTAATTTATCCATATGCTAATTATTAATAATAATTAATTGATCACCCAGGCATCTATTACCAATCTTCCAGGTAATTGGAAGCTTTTTTTTTTTTTGCTCTTTTTGGGTCCCACCCAGCAATGCTCAGGGGTTCCTCCTGGCTCTGCACTCAGGAATTACTCCTGGCGGTGCTCAGGGAACCCTATGGGAGGCTGGGAATCGAACCCGGGTTGGCCGCATGCAAGGCAAACGCCCTACCCTCTGTGCTATCGCTCCAGCTCCGAAACAGTCACAATTTTTGTTCTAAACTTCCAACCCGATCCTGGACCCAGAGCTTGTCCATTTGTCTGCAACATCCAGAGATGGTATATATCACTGAGTCACATTTTGATGTTATCATGCATCTGGATTGAGGTTTGAAGAGTTGTTCCTGCAAGAGCAGAGGTAGCGGGGTCACAGCAAGAATTATACTGTGTCCAGAGGGGAATCGGCTTGTCTGTGGGACAAGAGGGACAAGGCGGCGGGGGGGGGGACGTATGACAGAGGAACGGGGGGGCTTGTGCTGGAGTGAGCCAGGCGTAAGGAGAGAGAGAGAGAGAGAGAGAGAGAGAGAGAGAGAGAGAGAGAGAGAGAGAGAGTTGAGACAGGAGAGGGAGTTATTAGAGGCTCAGCACTGAGCCGGGTTCGATCCCCAGCGTCCCATAGGGTCCCCCGAGCACCGCTAGGAGTGATTCCTGAGTGCAGAGCCAGGCGAACCCCTGAGTATCACTAGCCCCCTCCAAAAAAGAAATGAGACAGAGGGGACTGGAGCGATAGCACAGCGGGTAGGGCGTTTGCCTTGTACACGGCCGACCCAGGTTTGATTCCCAGCATCCCATAGCGTCCCCCAAATACTGCCAGGAGTGATTCCTGAATGCAGAGCCAGGAGGAACCCCTGTGCATCGCCAGGTGGGGCTCCCTCCAGCCCCCTCATCCCCCTCCAAAAAAAGAAAAACAGTGTCAGCATATCTGAGTCAGTTTTAGTGCAGTCTTTGGTACCATCTCCTTGGGCATTACCATCAATCTGTTGGGCCCAGGATGCTCATATCAATCTGGTGGGCTGGTGGGCCCTTCATGCAGTTGATGGGGGTCATCAAAGGAGCGGTTCTCCCTCCCTTCTCTTGTCCCCATCACATTTTCTTAATTCTCACTACAGTTTCATAATTCTCTTTACATGCAGCTTTGGGCTGGAGCAGGTAGGGCATTTGCCTTGCGTGCGGCCGACCCGGGTTCGATTCCTCCGCCCCTCTCGGAGAGCCCGGCAAGCTCCCAAGAGTATCCCGCCCACATGGCAGAGCCTGGCAAGCTCCCCGTGGCATCTTCGAGATGCCAAACACAGTCACAACAAGTCTCACAACGGAGACCCGACCCGATTGGGGAACGGAATTTCATCTCCAACTTTGCTGGACTGAGTGAAAGTAGGATGGGTTCTGCTGGGCTGGAATCAGGTGAGCCCACTTCAGCCTGCCAGGGGCTCAGTCCTGCACCTGGTCACCCCTGGAAATGAGCCCGTTGAGGGGGCTGGAGAGATAGCACAGCATGGAGAGCATTGGCCTGGCATGCGGCCGACCCAGGTTTGATTCCCAGCATCCCATAGGGTCCCCTGAGCACCTCCAGGAGTAATTTTGGAGTGCATGAGTCAGAAGTAACCCCTGTGCAATGCTGAGTGTGACCCAAAAAGAAAAAAAAATCCAGGGAGAGGAAGAGTTTGGTGAATCCCAATGTGCAGGTCTGATGGCATCCCAGAGATCGGGAGGCTAATCTGATGGGACTCAACCAAGAGGCAGCATTTGAGGGTGGAGGATAGTTCAAAAGACTCTTCACTGATCACAATCACGATCATCCTGTTTTTCGTCGATTTCCTCGAGCAGGCACCAGTAACGTCTCCTTCTTCCTAGCCCTGAGATTTTAAAAGAGCCATTTCAGTGCTCTTTCAGGATTAGGAGAATGAGACCCATCATTGTTACTGGTATTTGGCATATTGAGTACGACATGGAAAGTTTGCCAGACTCTGCCGTGCGGGCAGGATACGTTTTGTAGCCTGCCAGTTTCTCCAAAGGAAAAATAAGATAATAAGATGTCGCGTGGCCGCAAACGTGGCCATGTGCTTCCAGGAGCTGGGTTTTACAGTCTCTGCGTCTTGGCCATTGATGGGACCAACCTGGCGCTGGCGGCAGCTGGTGGGTGTGACGCCTACCTACTGGAAGATGGGGGGTCTGGTTGGAGAAGGCCCAGTCCCAATCCGAGCAGGCTTGGAGACCTCAGCCCCGGGACCCACATGCCTGGGTTCCTCTGCCAGTTCTTTCATGCATGAGGCCCATCCGGACGTGTGGAGAGTGGTCCCAGCATGGCTGTGGCTGGCTCCAGAGGTCCTCAGCTGCTGGGGCTCTGCTCGGGGCAGGGGGGGGGGAGAGAAACTCAACCCTCCCCCCTCCAAGGGGACCCGGTGAGGATGGCCAGGCGCGGGGACAGGAGACTCTTAGAATGAAAAAAATAAAAAGAAAGAAAACAAAAACCCTTATGGGACTGGAGCAATAGCACAGCAGGTAGGGCATTTGCCTTGCACGCGGCCGACCCGGGTTCGATTCCCAGCATCCCATAAGGGTCCCCTGAGCACCGCCAGGGGTAATTCCTGAGTGTAGAGCCAGGAGAACCCCTGTGCATCACTGGGTATAACCCAAAAAGAAAAGAAAAGAAAGAAAGAAAGAAAGAAAGAAAGGAAGGAAGGAAGGAAGAAAGAAAGAAAGAAAGAAAGAAAGAAAGAAAGAGAGAGATGACCCCATTAAACCTGAAGGTAAGTATTCGCTCTGCCTCCGACCCCGCATATGGACCCCCGGAACCGAGTCAGCTCAGGAAGCCGTTTTCTGACCTCAGACCTCAGGCCCACTCAGTCTTGCGGACCGTACCCCCAGCCTCAGATCCAGGCGTCTTGAAGGGTGGTGCCAGGTGACTCGCAAGCACACACGCAGCCGTGAATGTGCTCATTTATTCTTCTGTCCAAACAGCCCCCGGCAGAAAACACACAGGGAGTCTGAGTCCTGGGGACCCCCAGAACACCTCAGAGGGGCCACAGGTGACAACCTCATCAGTGGGGGCTGTGGCGAGAGGCTACGTGCTGTGTGCTAGGTGCTTAGTCCTGAGTGCTGGGTGCTCCCTCCTGCCCTCCCTGGCCCGTGCCCTCCCTCCAAGTTCCCCCGGGTGTCGACCCGGTACATCCGCGCTCGAAGCCTCTCCGCCTTCCTCCGGAGAGATGCATGCCCCTCAGCCGACGCCCTCTCGAGTCCCTCGTGGTACTTCTCTAGCCCGGCCTTGAGGTTGTGGGAGATCTCCTGGGGGGCGGGCAGGGGGCGACGCGTGAGCAGGGTGGGGTCCCGCCCGGGCGGGGTCAACCGACGCCCGGACTCACGCGGGCCTTGAGGTGCTCCCATTCGGCTGTGTCCCGCAGCTGCTGGGTCATGAGCTTCACCCGCTGCGCCTCCTGGGTGACGGCCACCATGCGCTTGCAGACTGCCCCCCGCTTCTCCTGCAGCCTCTGACAGACCCTGGATGCGGGGACACGGGCTCAGTGTCGCTGGAGCGCCAGGGGGAGCTGCTTGGTGACCCCAGGTGACCTACTCGAGGACCTGGGTGACCTACTTCAGGACTTCTTGGTGACCTACTAGATGACCCTGGATGACCTACTCGATGACCTACTCAAGGACTTTAGGTGACCTACTCGACCCCAGACTCCGGGTGACCTACTCAGTGACCCCGGGTGACCTACTTGATGACCTACTCGATGACCTACTCGATGACCTACTCGAGGACCGGGGTGTCCTCCTTGAGGACCCTGGGTGACCTACCCGATGACCCCAGAGCATAGGTGACCTACTTGATGACCCCGGGTAACCTACTCTATGACCCCGGGTGATCTACTCAATGACCTACTTGATGACCTACTCGATGACTGGGTGACCTACTCAATGACCTACTCGATGACCCCAGTACTCAATGAACTACTCGATAACCCTGGGTGACCTACTTTAGGACCCCGGGTGACCTACTCAATGACCCCAGACTCCAAGTGACCTACTGGATCACCCTGGGTGACCTACTCAATGACCTGGGTAACCTACTCAATGACCTACTCAATGACCCCGGATGACCTACTTGATGACCTACTTGATGACCCCAGACCACCTACTCAATGACCTAGTCAATGATCTACTCAATGACCCCGGGCGACCTACTTGATGACCTACTCGATGACCTACTCGATGACCCAGGTGACCTACTTGATGACCCTGGGTGACCTAATCGAGGGCCTAGTTGATGACCTACTCTATAACCTACTCGATAACCCCAGGTGACCACCTCGAGGACCCCGGGTGACCTACTCAATGAACCCAGACTCCAGGTGACCTACTGGGTAATCCCAGGTGACCTATTCAATGACCCGGATGATGACCTCCTCGGTGACCCGGGTGACCTACTCGGTGAGCGCACGCTTGTCCCGCTCTGTGTCCTGCCGCCTCGTGCCGGCCCTGAGCTGGGCGGTGGCCAGCTTCTCCTCCTTGGCCGCCCGCTGCCGCCGGAGCGTGCCCTCCTCCACCTTCATCTTCCTCAGGGCCAGCTGGGCGCTCTCCATCTGGTCCTCCAGCATCAGGTTCTGCGTCGGGCCGGGCGTGATGGTGATGGTGATGCAGTCAGAGTTGGGCCCGGGGGCAGGGGCGTCCCGCTGTCCCCCACCCCGGGGGGGTGGACACCCACTTCCTGGGAGATCTGGGCCCTCCGGTCCCTGCTGTCCGCCAGCTCCTGCGTCTTCCTCAGGCATTGCTGCAGCTCCAGCTGACACTCGGGCAGACCCGCTACCACGTCATGGTACTGGTCCAACCTGTCCATCACCTCTCGCTGGAAGGCGCCGCCTGGTCAGCTCAGAGCCCACCGGATGCCCATGACTCGCCCTGCTCTGACTTCGGAGCAGTGGGAGCAGATGGCCTGGCTTGGGGCCACCGTCCCCACCCGTGCCCGGTCCCGCAGCCTGTCGCAGAGAAGCCAGGGGCCTGGCTTTGGGGACACAGCCTCTCTGTGGTGCCTTGGGCAGGGCCTCTGGTGGGCCTGGATCTGACTCACCACAGCCAAGACCAAGGCCCAGGAGGGGCCACAGAGCTCCTGTCCTCCGCCCGGGGTTCAAGGGTGGGTGGGAGGCTCCACAGAGGTGAGGCAGGGAGGGGAAGGACTGGCACCCACCCGGGAGGCCTTGAGCTTCTGAATCGTGTCCTTCATCTGCTCGTTCTTCAGCTTTTCTGGCGAATCGATGATCTTGGTCTTCAAGGTGTCCTGTCGCTCTCTGGTGGAGGCCAGCGAGAGCTTCAGCTCATTCTGGGGGGTCAGGGGACAGTGCATCTTGACAAACTCGTACCAGCCCCGCCCCCTCCTAGGTCCCAGGCCATCTGACCACCCCCACCCACCCTCCTTTTTTATTTTTTTGGCTTTTTTTGTGGGGTGGCACACCCGGCGATGCTCAGGGGTTCCTCCTGCTCTGCACTCAGGAATCACTCCTGGTGGTGCTCAGGGGACCATAGGGGATGCTGGGGATCGAACCTGGATCGGCCGCGTGCAAGGCAAACGCCCTCCCCGCTGTGCTATTACTCCAGCCCCAGATTTATTTTTTTTCCTGCATTTTTGGGTTGGTTTATTTGGGGGTGACACCCAGCGATGCTCAGGGCTGACTCCTGGTTCTGCACTCAGGAATCACTCTTGGTGGTGCTCAGGGGATCCTGTGGGATGCCGGGAATCTAACCTGGGTCGGCCACATGCCAGGCAAACGCCCTCCCTGCTGTGCGATTGCTCAAGCCTCTCCCGTTATCCTCTTGGACACATTAATCACGGGCCATGGTCCCAGCTGGCCAGCCCTGAATGCCCAGTGGAACTCCCACACCCACCCGTGCCTGGGGCGGGGGGCAGGGGGTGGGATCAAGGTCTCACCAGGTGCTTGGTTTTCTGGGAGATTTGGTATTTCTTCTGCGTGTTTGTCTCCTGTGCATCTGTCTGCAGAGAGGGCAGACACTGCATTAGTGACGGCGGCTCTGTGCTAGGTGACACCTGGCCCGACTTTCCATCACATCCAGCCCGGCTCTCCAAGAGGCTGGTGCCACTTGTGCCCTCCCTGTGCGTTATGCCAAGCAACGCCCTGCAGTGGCCGGGGACGGCAGGTCCTTTGTCCACTGCCTGGTGATGGGACCCAGCCCCGTGCCCCCTCAGTACCGATTTTTGTTGTAGGTGACTCAGTGTCTGGCGCAGGTCATGGATCTCGTCTGACAGCTGCTGGAGCTCAGTTTGCTGGTCGACGGGGATCGAGCTGGGCAGGGGACGCGGGTCAGGACCCCTGCCCCCCCCCCCCCAAGCCCCCTGACCCCCCTAGGCTGCCCAGGGCCGCTCACTGCAGCTGTTCTAGCCTCTGCAGCGCCTCCTGGTGGGCGTTCTCGAGCTGACCCATCTTGCTCGCGGAAGATTCCTGTCGGGGAGCATGGGGTCCTGTCGGGGATGCCCCCTCCTAGGGCAACTTGGGGCTGCCGGTGCCCCTTGGAGACTCCCAGAGTGTCCGCTCCAGCCTCATAGCTCAGCGCACTCCCCCAGTGGGGGACACAGGTGAGCTGGGGAGAAGGACGGCAGAGACGCAGCCTGGGGTTGTGGGGGTGAGGGGTCTCTCTGAGTGTGGGGGTCAGCGGTCTCCCCCCACAGAGAGTAGACAGGACAGACCACCCAGGGCCCTGCTGGCAGGCGAGGGTCGCCGTGGCCAGGTCCGCAGCTGTCCTCAGGTCACTGAGGGGAGAAGCATCCAGCAAGAGGCCAGTGCCCGCGGCCAGCCAAGATGAGTTACAGAGGGGCTGGAGAGTCAGCTCCGCGGGGAGGGCGTTTGCCTTGCACGCGGCCAACCCGGGTTCGATTCCCAGCATCCTACATGGCCCCCCGAGCACTGCCAGGAGTGATTCCTGAGTGCAGTTCCAGGAGGAACCCCTGAGCATTGCCGGATGTGACCCCAAAAGCAAAAAAAAAAAGACGAGTTAGAGAGCCAGGCCCCCACCCACCCCAAGAGGCCACCCATCTGGCCCACGGCTCCCAGATAACTGGGTGGCTTGGGAGGCCACCCCCGGCAGTGCTCAGGGGCCACTCCAATGGGTGCGAGGGGCCCAGTTACCGCCCAGACCACATGCAGCCTCACATTTTGCCAAAGGAATTCCGTGTAGGTCTCTCGGCGAGACTCCCGGAAGTGGATGAAGTTGATTACGGCGCTGAGAAACCGGATGGTCCGTTTGGCTTCTGGTGGGGAAAGAACAGAGGGACACACCTGGCATCGCGTCCTCCCCCCCCACCGTGCTGGGCCACAGCCCCTCTGAGTTCTGCTCTGAGCTCTGAGCACTGAGGCAGGAGTGATCCCTGAGCACAGAGCTGGGAGTGAGTCCTGAGCACAGAACCAGGAGCTATCCCTGAGCACTGAGTCAGGAGTGATCCCTGGGCACAGAGCTGGGAGTAAGTCCTGAACAGAACCAGGAGCTATCCCTGAGCATTGAGTCAGGAGTGATCCCTGAGCACAGAGCTGGGAGTAAGTCCTGAACAGAACCAGGAGCTATCCCTGAGCACTGAGTCAGGAGTGATCCCTGAGCACAGAGCTGGGAGTAAGTCTTGAGCATAGAGCTGGGAGTATTCCTTGAGCACTGAGCCCAGAGTGATCCCTGAGCACAGAGCTGGCAGTGAGTCCTGAGCACAGAACCAGGAGTATTTCCTGAGCACTGAGCCAGGAGTGATCCCTGAGCATAGAGCTGGGAGTGAGTCCTGAGCACAGAGCCGGGAGTGATCCCTGAGCACAAAGCTAGGAGTGAGTCCTGAGCACAGAGCTGGGAGTATTCCCTGAGCACAGAGCCAGGAGTGAGCCCTGAGCACAGAGCCAGGAGTCAGCCCTGAGCGTAGAGCCAGGAATCAGCCCTGAGCACAGACCTGGGAGTGAGCCCTGAGCACAGAATCAAGAGTCAGCCCTGAGCACAGAGCCAGGGGTCAACCCTTGAGCACAGAGCCAGGAGTCAGCCCTGAGTACTGAGCCAGAAGTCAGCCCTGAGCACAGAGCCAGGAGTCAGCCCTGAGCACAATGTCAGGAGTTTTCCCTGAGCACAGAGCCGGAAGTGAGTCCTGAGCTTTGAGCCAAGAGTAACCCTGAGCACTGAGTGAGGAGTGAGCTCTGAGTATCATCGGGGATGGCCCAAGCACGAAAGCAGAGAGAGAGAGAGAAAGAGTCACGATAAAATCAGCTCTCCTGGAGACGGAGGGCAGAGGAGATGCCGGTGTGGGGGTGCCCCAGAAGCCCCCTCGCCCCGGGACGCCTCAAGCCGGCGCCTGGCTCTGGACTTCACTTACTTGGGTGCAGAATATCCACCATCTCGAAGTCACTGACCCGACAGATGAGCATGAAGGGCTTCCTGGAGGAGGAAGCAAGAACGTGACAGTGTGGCTGCGACCGCCCCGCTCTGGGCTACGGGGACCTGGGCTTCCCCAGGGTCAAAGGCCAAAGGACAGGGGGGTCCCGTGTGCTAACCTGGGGTGCCGAGAGCCCGGCTGCTGTGGCCCTCTGGGGGGGTGGGAAGGGGAGTGAGGAGGTGTCACGGGTGCGAGCACCAGAGCGGGTGGACGGGGCCCGGGCACCCGACCCCCAGGGGCTGCCGCCTGCTACTCACAGGTGTCGGAACAAGTTGCTGACTGGCAGAAAGCCCTGCATGAGCTGTGGGTTCGACACCTCCGAGCCGGCAGGCAGCTGCGTGGGGGCGATTCAGAGAGGCTGTGAGCTAACGGACCCGGTCGGGCACACCCAGAGTGCTGGTTCTGACTCTGAGCTCTGTGCTCGGGGATGACTCCCTGCTGGAAAGGTCACACCCAGGGTGCTCGGGGCTGACTCCGAACTCTGTGCTCAGGGCTGACTCACTGCAGGGTCACACCCAGGGTGCTCGGGGATGACTCCCTACTGGAAGGATCACACCCAGGGTGCTCGGGACTGACTCTGAGCTCTGTGCTCAAGGCTGATTCACTGCTGGAAGAGTCACACCCAGAGTGCTTGGGGATGACTCTGAGCTCTGTGCCTGGGACTGACTCTGAGCTCTGTGCTCGGGGCTGATTCACTGCGGGAAGGGTCACACCCAGGGTGCTCGGGGATGACTCTGAGCTCTGTGCTCGGGACTGACTCTGAGCTCTGTGCTCAGGGCTGATTCACTGCTGGAAGAGTCACACCCAGGGTGCTCGGGGCTGATTCACTGCAGGAAGGGTCACACCCAGGGTGCTCAGGGCTGGCTCCGAGGTCTGTGCTCAAGGCTGATTCACTGCTGGAAGAGTCACACCCAGGGTGCTCGGGGCTGATTCACTGCAGGAAGGGTCACACCCAGGGTGCTCGGGACTGACTCTGAGCTCTGCTCGGGGTTGATTCACTGCAGGAAGGGTCACACCCAGGGTGCTCGGGGCTGATTCACTGCAGGAAGGGTCACACCCAGGGTGCTCGGGACTGACTCTGAGCTCTGTGCTCGGAGCTGATTCACTGCTGGAAGAGTCACACCCAGGGTGCTCGGGGCTGATTCACTGCAGGAAGGGTCACACCCAGGGTGCTCGGGGCTGATTCACTGCAGGAAGGGTCATACCCAGGGTGCTCGGGACTGATTCTGAGCTCTGTGCTCAAGGCTGATTCACTGCTGGAAGAGTCACACCCAGGGTGCTCGGGGCTGATTCGCTGCAGGAAGGGTCACACCCAGAGTGCTCAGGGCTGACTCCGAGCTCTGTGCTCAAGGCTGATTCACTGCTGGAAGAGTCACACCCAGGGTGCTCGGGGCTGAGTTCCCCGCGATGCCCAAATGGATGGATCAGGGATGGGCAGTGGGCAAGGACAACACCGCGTCCCCTGTCTGTCTGGCTAAACGTTTCCTGTGTGTTCTCTCATGACTTGAAAAAAGCCTTCTACAGAGGAACGAAGTCCAGGCGGGACTTCCCGGAGAAGCCCTGGGTTTGTAAACGCTGTGGAAAAGCGTTTGTAAACTCAGAGCAAGGAAAAGCCCGAGAAATCCCATCCACTGTTGGTCCCCGGGAAGGCCCGAAAGGAAAAACGGGGTGCCCTGTTCCAAGCTACCGGGCCGGCGGCCGCACCCTCACCTTGTAGAAGTCCTCTGGCTGCATCCCGTTCACCGTTTCCAGCACTCGCACGAAGATCGCACGTAAGACCTCGGGCTGCAATGGAAGCCGCTCAGTGGAACCCCCCGCACCCCTAAACCAGCCCAGCAAAGCAGCTGAGACCGGCAGGTGGATGGCAGGGGCACCCCTTGGGCAACGGGAGGCCTGGGTGATGGTCCAGGCTGGCCCCTGGCAGGAACTCAGGGACCCGATGGGCAGCCTGGGAGGGATCAGCTCTGCCACTGTCTTGTCGCTCTGGCCTGGCCTATCCTGTAAGACGCTTCAGGTGTCCAGTTGTTAGGTGTGAATCTGGACACAGCCCAGGGGACAGGCACTTCCTGGGAAGGGGGCTTCCAGAGTCTTTTTTTTTTTTTTTTTGCTTTTTGGGTCCCACGCGGCGATGCTCAGGGGATCTTCCTGGCTCTGCTCTCAGGAATCACTCCTGGTGGTGCTCGGGGGATCCTAGGGGATGCTGGGAATCGAACCCGGGTCATCTGCGTGCAAGGCAAACGCCCTCCCCGCTGTGCTATCGCTCCTGCCCCTCCGCCTCTGTCTTGTTGCTCTGGCCTGGGCAGTCCTGCAGGACACTTCAGGTGTCCAGTTCTTAGGTGTTAACCTGGACAGAGCCCAGGGGACAGGTACTTCCTGGGAAGGAAGTTTCCGGAGTCTTTCTTTCAGTGAACCCCTAACCGGGTGGGCTCTGAACGAGGTTTTTTTGTTTTGTTTTGTTTTGTTTTGCTTTTTGGGTCACATCTGGCGATGCGCAGGGCTTAATCCTGGCTCTGCACTCAGGAATCACTCCTGGCGGTGCTCGGGGGACCCTATGGGATGCCGGGGATCGAACCCGGGTCGGCCGTGTGCAAGGCCAACGCCCTCCCCTCTGGGCCTCCCCAACTCCAGCTCCAAACGTAATATTTTTTAATGGGTCCAAGGCGTTCCTTTTCCAATCTCACGAACCCGGCCCGTGTTACGGAGTGACTTCCTGACACACAGACAGGAGTCTGGACACGAACGTGATCGTCCAAGGGTGTCCCGCGGCCCCCAAGGGCGGGCCAGGGGACCCAGCCTGCACCCATGTCCCTGCCGCACACACCCTCCACCCCTGGCCCCCTTACCTTGGGGTTTGGATAGAGATCTGCCTTGGAGAGGTTCTTCCCGTTCGCTCCCGTTAGGATGTTGTTACGGATGTGGACCAGGAGTTCGTCCACCTCGTACCTGGGGAAGGAGAACATCTCCATCGCCTCCATCGGGTCAGGCAGGGCTGGAGGCTGAAAAACGGGGACTCGGGGTCTGGAAGCCCCGCTCTCTGCCCGGCTCCCGGAGGAAGAAACCACAGCTTCTGTCCTGCGGGGCTGTCTGTCCGCCTGCCCACGGGGTGTCGGGTCCCTTCCTTCGAAAGCCACGCCGCCGCCGTCACGCCTCAGTTCCATAGGGGAAATATGAGTGTCCCGATTGACAGAGGTATCGAACCAAGTTTTTCCTTCACTGAGCTTGGCGGGAGGCGGCCGCAGCGGGGTGGGATGCAGAGCCTACATAGCTGGATCTGGGCACGAGCCCCTCAAGCCAGCCAGGTAACGCTCTTCTCTCCACAGAAGCGATTTAAACCCGCTGCCGGGCCCCGCCCGCCCCCTTCTCGGGATAACTGTGTCCACCTGTGCAGCCACCTGCCCAGGGGGCCTTCCTTCCGGCCCACCATTCTGAGCTCGTCTGTTCAACCCTCCTGTCTGAGCCTGAGGTAGGCAGGTTAGGCAGGGAAAGGCCCTCTGCAATGAAACTTAGGTCGACAGAAGGTCTGGGAGGAGAATCCTAAGACTTGATTCACCATGTGGATGCAGTAAACAGACCTGATGAGGACGCCAGCAGACCTTGAGATTGGACCCCTCTCCATGAAGTTCCTCAAACCCTCTGCGTGCGCATAGGTTGCCTGAGCCCAGGTGCTGCTTGCGTCCACGTGGCCCAGCACATGTGTTACCTGAGCACACGTGTCATCCGCATCTCCCCTCTTGAGATGGGGACTTTCATGCTTTCGTGTCTTATGCTGGGGGGTGTGTAGGGGTCTCTCCGCCCTTGGAGAAGCCCATGCTCTCTCTTGAGCGTCTCTCTCTCTCTTCTCCTCCACACCTTAAAAATCCTCCAAATAAAATCTATTTATTTCGGGGCTGGAGCGATAGCACAGCGGGTAGGGCGTTTGCCTTGCACGCGGCCAACCCAGGTTCGATTCCCAGCATCCCACATGGTCCCCTGAGCACTGCCAGGAGTAACTCCTGAGTGCAGAGCCAGGAGTAACCCCTGTGCATCGCCGGGTAAAAGGTCCTCCTGTTGATCATCGATTTGCTCGAGCGGGCCCAGTAATGTCTCCATTGGAGACTTTGTTGTTACTGTGTCTGGCATATCGAATACTCTCGGTAGCTTGCCGGGCTCTCCGAGAGGGGCGGAGGAATCGAACTCGGGTCGGCCATGTTGGCCGCGTGTAAGGCGAATGCCCTACCCGCTGTGCTATAGTTCCAGCCCCGAAATAAATCGATTTTATTTGGAGGATTTTTAAGGTGTGGAGGAGGAGGAGGAGGAGGAGGAGGAGGAGGAGGAGGAGGAGGAGAGAGAGAGAGAGAGAGAGAGAGAGAGAGAGAGAGACGCTCAAGAGAGAGCATCGCCGGGTGTGACCCAAAAAAGCAAAACAAAAAAAAATCTATTTATTTCACTGCTTGTCTATTCCTGAAATTCCTTTCTGCAAGGCAAGACGAGAACCCACTAAGGCTGGGTCCCAGATGGCAGAAGTGGACGGGGAGAAAGTGACCGTCTCTCTCCTCCCCTACTTCACATAAGTCACCCGCGGGGCCCACCGACATCAAAGTAAGTAGATATTTTTTTCTTTTTGGGTCACACCTAGCGATGCACAGGGGTTCCTCCTGGCTCTGCACTCAGGAGTTACTCCTGGCGGTGCTCAGGGGACCCTAGGGGATGCTGGGAATCGAACCTGTGTTGGCCGCGTGCAAGGCAAACGCCCTCCCCGCTGTGCTATCGCTCCAGCCCCAAAGTAAGTAGATTTTATTTGGAGGTTTTGAAGGGAAGGAGGGAGGGAAAGTGGAAGAGAGAGGTGAGTATCATGCTCAAGAGAGATCCTGGGCTTCTCCGAGGGCGGAGAGAGGCGGAGAGACCCCCGCACACACCCCAAGGGCGTGAGAGACCCCCCCCCCCCCCCCGCACACACCCGAGGGCGGAGAGACCCCCGCACACACCCCAGCATCAGACAGGAAAGCATGAGGGGAGATGCGGGTGACACGTGTACTCGGGGACCACATGTGCTCGGTCACGTGGGTGCAAGCAGCATTTGGGTTGAGGCAGCATCTGTGCCCTTCCTTGGTCCAAGGCGGCCTTTATAGGGTTTCTCCAACCTGCCCCCACCTGGGGTTTCTACCTAGGTCAAAGTTCGTTGCTAAGGAGGTTGTCAAGGGAATAGAGTTTTGGGAGTGGTGATGGTCTTCTTTGAAATTCCTTCCTGGCCTTCTGTTCCTGATGGAGTTTCTCTCAGCGGGGGGTCCAGACTCCTCAGGGTCTGTTACCCACTGGCACTTGTCCATGAGGTCAGCGCTATAACTGCCCAGGAAATTTTTTTGTTTTTGCTTTTTGGGTCACATCCGGTGATGCACAGGGGTTCCTCCTGGCTCTGCACTCAGGAATTACTCCTGGCAGTGCTTGGGGGACCATATGGGATGCTGGGAATCGAACCCAGGTCAGCCGCGTGCAAGGCCAACGCTCTCCCCGCTGTGCTATGGCTCCAGCCCCCTTGCCCAGGAAATTTACTGCCTTTGCCTTGGAAGGGGGCCTTCCCCATCTACCTGCCTGCCTCCAGCAGTTACAGCCCACATTGGAAGCCCTTTCCTGATATCGGAAATAACCTGTTCATAACCACGCGCGCACACACACACACACACATACACATGCAGAAGTAAATATATTTTTTAAAGTGAGATGGGGGGATTGGAGCAATAGCAAAGCTGGGAGGACCCTGGTCTTGCATGTGGCCAACCCAGGTTCAATCCCTGGCATCCCATAGGGGCCCCCGAGCACTGCCAGGAGTGATAACTGAGTGCAGAGCCAGGAGGAACCCCTGAGCATCGCTGGAGGTAGCCCTGAAAACAGACACACAGAAATGAGCAGGGACCCAGGAGAGAGCTCAAAGAGCTTCACATGAAGGAAGCTGGGTTTGATCCCCTGTGCTCCTGGGCAGAGCGATAGCACAGCGGTAGGCCTGGCCAACCCGGGTTCGATTCCTCCGCCCCTCTCAGAGAGCCCAGCAAGCTCCCGAGAGTATCCGGCCCAACGGCAGAGCCTGGCAAGCTCCCGGTGGCGTATTCAATATGCCAAACACAGTAACAAGTCTCAAAATGGAGATGTTACTGGGCCCCCTCAAGCAAATCGATGAACAACAGGAGGACAGTGCTACAGAGCTATGTGCACTCAGGAATCCCTCCTGGCAGTGCTCGGGGGACCCTATGGGATGCCGGGGATCGAACCCGGGTCGGCCGCGTGCCAGGCCAACGCCCTCCCCGCTGTGCTGTCGCTCCAGCCCCCTAGAACTCTTCTTAATTCCATCTCTACCCGGAGACATCCAAGAACTGGGGCTTCGACTCTGTCCGGCTCAGGCTGGAGTTGGAGCGGGTGGGCCCCAGCACCGACGCTCACCAGCAGAGGGCGCTCGCACCCAAGACAACGTTGGCAGCCCCCAAAGGGAGGTTTTGGGGGTGGGCGGGAGGGAACCCACACGGGTGAGATGGGCAGGGAGGGGTCGCTGGGTCTCTCAGGGACGCCAGACTGGGGGGAAGGAGAGCCGGGCTTCGAAATGGAGATATTGGGAGACAATTCTTTCTTTCTTTCTTTCTTTCTTTCTTTTTTTTTGCTTTTGGGGTCCCACTCAGCCATGCTCAGGGGTTCCTCCTGGCTCTGCGCTCAGGAATTACTCCTGGCGGTGCCCGGGGGGACCTTATGGGATGCTGGGAACCCTAGTTGCACGCCGCGTGCAAGGCCAACGCCCTACCCGCTGTGCTATTGCTCCAGCCCGGGAGATAGAATTCTAATGAGGGGTTTATTCCCACAAGCCCTGAGGTTGTTTGGGGGGTGGGCTGGGGGGCTGACACTCTCAATGGGTCACGTTTATCTCAAATTGCTTCTTCTTAAATTGTTTTTTTGGGGGGTCACATCCGGCTGAGGTCAGGGCTGATTCCTGGCTTTGGGGACTCTCTGGGATGCCGGGATGGAACCTGGGTTTATCATGTGTGAGGCAAATGCCCTCCCCGCTGTGATATCACTCCAGCCCCTAATTATCAGAGTATTACAGCGGTTGTTATTTTTGTTCCAGGTTAGGAGGGTTTGCTCAATCTTTGCTTTTCATTTTTGGCTCAGTTCATTAATCATCTCCTCTCTCTCTTTCTCTCTCTCTCTCTCTCTCTTATCTCCCTCTCTGTCTCTTTGTCTCTGTCTCTCCCTCTCTAGTTCTTCCCCTCCCTCATCAAAATGATCACAGCTAAGGGATTTTTCCCTTTCAGCTTCTGATCAACTGAGAGTGACCAATGCCACCTCACTTCCTGGATGCATGTGTCTTATAGCAGAAACTAGCACTGCACCGTCGCACCGTCCTCCTGTTGGTCATCGATTTGCTCGAGCGGGCACCAGTCACGTCTCCATGGTGAGACTTGTTGTGACTGTGTTTGGCATCTCGAAGACGCCACGGGGAGCTTGCCAGGCTTTGCCATGCAGACGGGATACTCTCGGGAGCTTGCTGGGCTCTCCGAGAGGGGCTGAGGAATCGAACCCGGATCGGTTGAGTGCAAGGCAAATGCCCTACCCGTTGTGCTATCGCTCCAGTCCATGTATACCATAAAAAATACTTACGGTATTTTTTAATTTGGCCCAGAGTGGTAGCACAGAGATTAAGGCACTTGGCTCGCACACAACTGACCTGGGTTGGATCCGTGGCACTGAAGATGATCTTCTTACCCTCCTCCTCCTCCTCCTCCTCCTCCTCCTCCTCCTCCTCCTCCTCCTCCTCCTCCTCCTCCTCCTCTTCCTTCTCCTCCTTCTCTTCCTCCTTTACCTCCTCCTCCTTCTCCTCCTTCTCCTCTTTCTTCTCCTTCTTCTCCTTCTCCTCCTCCTCCTCCTCCTCCTTCTCTTCCTCCTTTACCTCCTCCTCCTTCTCATCTATTCCTCCTCCTCCTCCTCTTCCTCCTCCTCATCCTTCACT